CATGTGGTTTAGCAGATATTCGGAACCTCTGGGAAATTAGGGTTTTCCCTAAGTTCCTTAATTACGGAAATCGACGGTGTGAATTTCGGTTCCCACACCATGGCCGAGATACCTACTATTTATGTGTTTTGTCATTGCTTATACAAAACATAAGCTTTTCTATCTTTACCACAACATATTAATTTAGGGCTTTAGTAGTTTTGGAGAGAAGATCAAGACTCATTCAGAGATTTGTATTAGAACTTCATTGTTTCTTACCTTATTCTGTTATATATTTTCTATTTAGATAATTGTTATGGTTTGGCTAATTATGCATGAGTAGTTTCTCTTGTTAGATTAGAGTTTTATTAGGGGTTATATGTATTGTTGAGACATAGAACTGCTACAGTGAATCTATAAGAATCATTTATCAGAATTGTGCTTATATCTTGTGTTCCAGAGTAACTAACTAGAACCCTGAACCTAGGATATAGACAACTACGATAGTAGGTTCTGTACCTGATAATAATTATGTTGAGCTAGGTTGGTAGGCGGATGTGAAAGTTGGTATAGATTAACTTGATAGAGAAAGTTGCTTATAAGATAATTTGAGCGATATCATCAATTCTGCTTTGCTAATCTTATGATAGAGTCGCCTTGGGGATGGACCGCGATGCCTTGGACAGTTCTCTGGTTGTCTACTATATTGATCTACTCTCTCGTTGCAGGTTCCGGTAATGGGATCAAGAAAGGATCTCATGTATATTATTGATTGTTCTATAACTACTTAAGCTTTAATCATGTCTTTAGGGATTGTGGTTAAGCCTTCATTGTTCTAGAGTCTTTTTTGAACTTTTTTGTAGTTCTCTACAACACCAATGATTTGATTAGCTTCACAGATATCTAGGATTTTTTTGATTAAAACTTTGTATCTCCTTGTGTCATTATTGATTAATGAAAATTCACATAGTTAACAAAAAATATACTACACAAACAAAAAAAGACGTTTAACTCTAACTAGTTTTTGACTATATTATTTAGGACTAACATTGATGTGTCTTATTCAGTGTGATTAGTCTGTACTTATAAGCTATGAGATTGTGTTTTTCTTTTAATATATTTTTATTTAATTTATTTGACAAAGTAAACACTAAAATATGAGAGTTTTTCTATATAAAGTTCAATTTTTGTTTTTTGAGAATTGAAAAAAACAAATAGATTATTTAGAAACATAAATAATAATGAAACCAAGTTAAAAACATTAAAATAAAAGATATTTAATTGAAATTAAGATTTTTGATTATTTGGTTATTAAATTATAATTAAAATGGGCCACAATTTAATTACTATGTTCAAATTATATTTTCATTACAATATGTATGGATTAGGCTTTAGTTTATTTTAATTGACCAAATCCATATATAGATTAAGGCCAATGGCATGAAAGTGTAATTTTTAAGGAAAATTAAGGGGTATTTCCTATTTGTACTCTAGTTTTAATAGTTTAAATTGTATCATGTCAGACTTTTCAATCTATATAATCTACAAAAATGTTTTTTCTGTGGAATTAAGCATTAGAGATTTGATAAACTACTCGACCAAGAGAATTTTATAGACAAACTTCACCGCTTATAAATTTAGAATCAAGTATATCTGTGAAGTTTCTGTAAAAGTTCTCTTTGGTCAGTAGTTTGTCATCCCATTCATTGATGATGAGAGACATGTGTGTAGATATATTCCAGGACAGAAACTTACGTCGGACTATGGGAGTGGTTTTGTTACGTAATCGGAATTTCAGCTGCATAAAAGGTGGACAGTTGGGTCTATGGATATTGTTTAGGAGGACAAAGCCAGCCCCAGTTTTGCCCCACTAAGACTAAACATCAATACCATTAAAACAGAAATATTTTTTTTAATTAATGATTTATTTTTTTCAAATTTACTTTTAATCTTATGAACAAATTTATTTTTTCATTAATAGCAATTTTTTCTTTTATTTTTTCGTCTTTTCTTTTAAGACCTAAAAACTATATACTAACAGGTTTCATTAATGGGTTCAATTCACCTTCTAATTATTTCTTAAATTTCTTTACAAATAAACACATCAATCTTAATTGGCGTAGTTAGAACCGAAAATTTTGATATTAGTCTCCAGGTCTCACCCTTTTTGACTCGCCACGAAACGGGTCAGTCGATTTGAGAAAATTAAGTTGCAGATTAAGTGTATTTTACGCGAAACAGTGCGGATTGTTCAAATTTCAATTGAGGATACCCTGTAATCCGCAAAAATAGAAAAATAATTTTTTAAAAATTTTATTTTTCAAAAATCTACTAAATTTTGTTAAAAGTTATTAGTATATTTTAAATATTAAAAAAAAGTATACTATTTAATATTATTTTTTTTAAAAAAAAATAATGATTTTTATTATTTAATAATTATCCGCGGATCCCGTGGATTACCCGTAAAATTAAGTGAGACAGATGCAGATAAAATATATTTGCTTTGTAGATCAGGCGGTTCAGGCAGCGTGAGTTTGACCTGTTTCCTAGCACCAGACGTAGTTAATTGATATTATTTTTCCATAGTAAAACTACAAAATTGCATACAATACATTTACATTGATATTGATGATAATAATAAATTAAAAACAGTACTAATTTTAAAAAGTTATATTAGATAGTGACATGTTATATCATCAAAGCAAATGACTTATCGATCCATCTGTATATAAAACAATAAAATTAGTAAAGCGTAGGTCAAAAATCTAGTATATATGTAAATAATATTACTGCTATTTTTTATTTTTTTTAATACTACTAATACTAGTATTAATTGTTTTCATAATGGATCTACGTTATTGGTAGTTCATTTATTTGAATACTAGGTGTTTTCATGCACAATGTGCAGAAATAAAAAATTTAAAAATAAAATTATATTTAAAAGTAAAATTTAGTTAATTTTAAATTTATTATGTGTTACATTATTAATTTTACGTTAATTATATGTAAAAGTTAAGATAAAATATACAACTTTATTTAAATTTTTATTTAATAGTATATATGTATATATTTAAAATTAAATATTTGGAAATATTTTTTTATCTTTTTTGTTAGTTAAAATATATTAGATTCTATACAATTAAGAGAAATTTTTTTTAGATATATAATTATAAAAATATAAAATTAAATAATATTTTTAAAATTTCTATGTCTTATAAATAAAACTAAAAATATTGAGATTAAAAAATTATATTTTTTAAAAAAATCCGCATAAAATTGTGAAAACAATTATTAATAAAAGTTATATAATTATAAAAAAAAGACTTTAAGAATATTTCAAAAAATTTAAATATTGTTATATTTCTACTTTTACTATTATATTATTTATTTTTATGTTAATGATAACCTATGTGTTATATATCACCATATTCTAAAAACTTATCGAAAATTTACATTAACATTAAATGTAAATGTACATATTATAATTAATTTCAATCTATGTCATCATTATTAGTGGATATATCATCATTTTTGGTGAAATTGATGTGACCAAAAATATATATATTAACAATAAATGTAAATATACATGTCACAATTAATTCCAATCCATGTAATCATTATTAGTGGATATATTGTCATTTTTTTGGTGAAATTGATTATGGTAATGACATATGTAAAAATCAGTTCGCAAATAATATATAAGGAATCGCTACACATGCAATCATTTATGTACAGTTTTATCTCTTTTGTCATACTCCCTCCATATATGAAGGTATGACAATTTAGTTTTTTTCTTATATACAAAAGATTGATGCTCTACTTTTAAATAATACACTTTGTTTTAAATTAAAATATATATCAAAATCTAAATATGTAAAGCGTTGAATTTTACAAATAAAAAATTAAATTAAATAAAAATAAAATATAAAAAAAGATTAAAGTAAATATTAATTTTTCTTGATATGTGTACATAACCCAAAGCATACATCTGTATCCAGAGGGATAACATATTTACACCAAAACTTGAAAATGTCAGTGACCGCTTAGAAACTATATTGAATAATAAAATAAAAATAAAATAAAAAGAACAAACAGTAGTTGAGACACCGAAAGAAGAATGCATAAGCTAAACGGAACGAAGAGAAGCTCTCAACAAAAGTAGTTAGGGTTTTGCACGTTACCTTAGCTCATGCAATCTTCACCTTTCATCACTCTAAAATAATTCTTTTATAATATATTTATTTTATCCAGTCTCATATATATACGTGTATATACATGATCGTCATGCATGTCTTGCACTTTACCTACCAAAGCCACAATCAATCTCTTCTAAGAGAGAAGGGAAGAAAACTATACACATATATTGTCACAGATATATAAGTGATTTGGTGACGTTATTTTAAGCGGAAAGCACAACCATGTATGTATGTTGTTAGCTTCTAAACTTCTTCTTTATTGCAGTCTATCTTCTTATTTGCTTATAGCTGTTATCGCTTTAACTTGTCAAGTTTCAGCAGTCACAAGATTTTTGAGGAATTTTCTTTCTTCTGAGAATATTGTATAAGTTCTTGTTGGTTTATTTCTTTTCATGATATTTGAGCTCTCTCTAGTTTGAAATCATGTGAAGGATACATTTTGTCTTTCTAATTATTTGTGTCGTCTCAAATTTCTCCTTTGTTAACCAACAAAACCATTAAAAATATTGGCACAATATTATTGGTCAGAGTTTGAAGGGAACTTCACCATTTTTGAAACTTTGTTTTTTTCTTATTGTGGTGTAGTCGTTTTGAGAGAATGGATAGTAGTATGAAGAACTTGTTGGAGAAACTAAGGCCTCTTGTAGGTGCAAGAGCTTGGGACTATTGTGTTCTTTGGAGACTAAACGAAGACCAAAGGTCTGATTTTATTTTTTCAGTACCCTCTCTCTCTCTCTCTCTCTCTCTCTCTCTCTTTATATATATATACATATATATATTTCCTCTTTCGTCACATTGTTTCTAATTTGGTTTGAGAGGGGACAGGTTTGTGAAGTGGATGGGATGTTGTTGTGGTGGGACACAACTCATAGAGGAAAATGGAACAGAAGAGTTCAGCTTCGGAGGCTGTAGAGATGTTATGTTTCATCATCCTCAAACCAAATCTTGTGAATTTCTTGCCCATCTTCCTTCTTCCATCCCTCTTGATTCCGGGTATGATCATATACACATGACTCACATAAATATACTGTTACATATGATATATCTAGAGATTGAAACATGGACTTTTTTATATAGGATATATGCGGAGACTCTTCTGACTAACCAGACTGGTTGGTTAAGTGAGAGCTCAGAACCAGGCTTTATGCAGGTATTATATAATTCTATTTTATATCATCATGACAATCACATGAACAAGATCTCTTAATTAATTAATGGTACAATCCAGGAGACGATCTGTACAAGGGTTTTAATTCCTATACCCGGAGGGTTAGTGGAGCTATTTGCGACTAGACAGGTATGTTTAATATGTCTTTCAAGTATTTCAAGTTTTGGTTATAAAATGTGCTTGTACATGATGATGCGATGTATAGGTAGCTGAAGATCACAACGTGGTAGATTTTGTAATGGGGAATTGCAACATGTTGATGGCTGAAACCACAACGATCAACGTAATGGTAGCGGATGAGGTCGAGTCCAAGCCATACGGGATGTTATCTGGTGACATCCATCAAAAGGGTTCAAAGGATGAAGATATGATGAATCTTCCATCTCCTTACGATATTTCTGCGGATCAAATGCGGCTTAATTTCTTGCCTCAGATGAGTGAGTATGATGCCCAACAACACTTGAAGGTGAAGAGTGATGATTATCATCACCAAGACTTGGGATGTCTCCCGGAGAATGGTAACAAGGAGATGACGGGCATGAACCCTTTTAACACGGTGGCAGAAGAGGGGTTGTCAGTGATGGGCGAGCATAGCTTGCTTTTGAACGAACAGCAAGTGGCTAACGATAAGGAAATGAATGAGAACGGAACTGGTTCGGATTGTAGCGACCAGATAGATGATGAAGATGATCCTAAGTACAAGAAGAAGACAGGAAAACATTCTCAAGCTAAGAACCTGATGGCTGAGAGACGGAGAAGGAAGAAGCTAAACGATAGGCTTTACGCTCTTCGGTCACTTGTTCCTAGGATAACCAAGGTAATTAATATATGTATCTGCTGTTTTACTCTAAAGGGTTTGTTAATTTTCTTTGTTTGAAACTAGTTTTTATTGTGGCATGGAAAGTTGGATAGGGCATCGATTCTTGGTGATGCGATCAACTACGTAAAGGAGTTGCAGAATGAGGCAAAGGAGCTTCAAGACGAGCTTGAAGAGAATTCAGAGACTGTGGAAGGATCTAACAGGCAGCAAGGAGGGATGAGCCTGAACGTGGGGACTGTGGTCACTGGGTTTCACCCGGGGCTTTCATGTAACTCCAACGTTCCTAACCTTAAACAAGATGTTGATCTTGAGAATGCTAATGATAAAGGACAAGAAATGGAGGTTAGAGAATAATAAGGAAGAACATAAACTCTCACGTATCTATATTGATACTCTTTAACACCGCATTTTAATGATTATGTTGGGTGAGGTGTTTCAGCCGCAGGTGGATGTGGCTCACTTAGATGGGAGAGAGTTTTTCGTAAAGGTGATTTGTGAATACAAACCAGGAGGCTTTACAAGGCTAATGGAGGCACTTGACTCTTTGGGACTTGAGGTTACAAATGCTAACACGACTCGCTTCCTCAGTCTTGTCTCTAATGTCTTTAAAGTTGAGGTATGATCTAAAAGAACCTGCAGAAATGAATTAACAAAACAGAACATACAGAAACTATATGGTTCTTTTTATGTCTCCATGTTACAGAAAAATGATAGCGAGATGGTGCCAGCTGAACATGTGAGGAACTCCTTGCTGGAAATAACCCGGAACACATCTAGAGGATGGCATGATGACCAGATGGCAACAGGTTCCATGCTAAACAATAAGAACGAAGTTGACATTCAACACTATGATGATCACCACCATCACAGCGGTCATCATCACCTACATGATCATCAGATGAATCACAGTGCTCACCATCATCACCAACACATCAACCATTACCAAAACCAATAAGGAACATGTGTTATCAAGATGGGTGTTTTTTATAGGAGAGAGAACCATTAAAATATGCATAAATACACTTAAAACATCTTTCAAATTCAAGAAATAATAGAAAAGAAGAATATCAGATTCTCATGAAGGGCAAAGGCTCTTACATTTTCGTGGGACAGACTATATAAAAGCCAAAAAACTTCACTTGAAATAATCATTGTTAGACCACCCACAATGGATGTGTTGAAAGACACTTTCAAATGTTGAAAGTGATGCAGTGAGGGTGTTGAAAAAATTGAGTTATCTACGTGGTATCATCATCTGTTGTAAACTTTCAATAGCTGGAAAAAAAAATTTGGAGTCCACACTGCCATGTGTCACATCTTGGTTGGCCAGAACATTAAAAGCGTGTGTACACACGCGTGCTAGTACAAGATTTTTTTTAAATTCTGGATAAGATTTAAATGCTGTGTTTTAATTGGCTCTGTATATTTCTTTTGATTTTTATTCCCACCCAATAATTCAAACGCAATTTTTATATCAAAATTCAAGATTTTTTTTTCTCTATAAATAGAGACCACTCTCATCTCATTTCGATATAGAAAAAAAAACATCATTTTTCATTATAATCACCAATTTTAGTGTTTTATATCTTTTTATGTTAAATGGATCCCAATAATAATCCTTTTAACACTCAAAATTCTTCTAATTTTCAGTTTAATTTCCAAAATCTCAACAATTATCAATTTCAAAACCGAACTTCTAATCAACCCCAAAATTTATCAAATTATGGTTTCTCACCAAATTTCTTCATGCCATCATCTGTTCCGAATTATCCTCCAAATTATGGTTTGATGATGCAATATTATTCTCAAACACCTTCTCTTTCTTCCACTCCAACGGGTGATGAAAATGTTCTAAGAGCAACTGAATTTCCCGAGTTTTCTACACAAATAGCTCTTGGTGGCATGAGCAGTGTTAATGAACCTATTCCAGAAGAAAATGCAGATGATTCAGCTCAAGCTCGCCGCAGAAGCCCTAAATGAACCACCGATCAAAATTTGGTGCTACTTAGTGGATGGATTAAATATGGAACTGATAGCATTGTTGGCAGAAATCAGAAAAGCGAATTTCTTAGTACTGTAATGAGCATTTCTCATTTGATCCTCCCCGTGATGGAGCTTCATGCAGAAATAATTTCAACTATATGAATAAAAAGTTGAGCAAATGGAGTGGCGCTTACGACAATGCTAGGCGTATGCAACAAAGCGGATGGTCGGAGAATGATGTCTTGGCAAAAGCGCACGAATTATATTCAAGTGGTAAGAATGAACATTTTAATTTAATGTCGGAGTGGCTTGCTGTTCGTGATCAACCGCGTTATAGTAGTCAAGTAGGAGGAAATACTGACTCTACAAGTAGCGGATCTAAGAGATCCCAAGAGAGTGATGCCAGTGATTCAAACTCTGTAGGATCTAGTGCTCGTTCAATGGGGAGGGATGCAACAAAAAAGAAAGGTAAAAAAAAAACAAGGGCGCAACTTTGGAAATGGTCAGCGAAGAGTGGAATGAATTCAAACAATTCAAAGAACAAGAATTGGAATGATTGGACACAATAGCCAAACAACAAGAGGAGGCAAACCGGTTGATGAAAGAAAAGACTCAAGCTAAGAAGATGAAGATGTTCATGAAGTTGAGTGAAAAAGAGCATCTCGATGACAAGAACAAACAGCTGTTGGAAATGTTGAGCCGTGATCTATTTGAAAATTAGTTGTTTTCATGTTTCTTATTGTGTTTTTCTACTTGAATAATGGGAGAATTTCATTTATAAATAGATTAGATTCGTCTATAATAGCTAAACCTTTATAAATACCTTATAAACCCTTATAACTAACTTATAAACCTCTTATAATCAACTTATAAATCTCTATAAATCATTTTATGTCTTTATAAACACTTATAAGTCATTTATAAATTGATTATAAGAGGTTTATAAGGTATTTATAAAGGTTTATAAGGTATTTATAAAGGTTTATAAGGTATTTATAAAGGTTTATAAAGATTTATCTTTTGTGGGCGGATCTAATCTTATCTATGAATCTTATCCATTAATAATGTGTGTTTGTTTTTTTCTACTTGAATAATATATATTTGTCTTGTTCTACTTTAATAATATATATGTCTCTTTCTACTTTAATAATTTTGTTTGTATGCAATCTGTGACTTTCAGTGGAGAATCTTATCTTATCTATTAATTTTGTCATTTTAATATCGATTTTATTTGTGCTTTGTATCATGTGTGTTTAAAATTCCTTAATAAAGTGTGTTTGTATCATGTGTATTTAAATATTTTTAAATTTTAATTTTCTTACTAGTATTAATTTTTGTATTTAAAAATAAAATTAGGTAAAAATCTAACTAAAAATGAATATATTATTAGTTTTAATTGTTTTATTAATATTTATTTTTTATTATTTAAAAAATAAACTAGGTATAATAATTTAAAATATCTATTATTAAAAGTTATGTTATTTTAGTTTTTAATTTAATTATTAATATATAATTATTATATTGTAAGAAAAATAAATAATATGAATTAAAAATTGTGGGTTACAGTGTTGAATTTTTTAAAACAAACCATTGTAGAGGTTTAAAATGAAGTGGGTGTTGAATAAATGAGGTGGAATAAAGAGAAGATGATGTGGAATATTAAAAAGAAAAAATAAGAGTGTTGAAAGTGGGGAGGGTGTTGAAACCATTATAGATAGTCCTAGACGTTAATAACAACTCGTGACAAGAAGAAGTGTTGCAGCGCAGCCACAAAAGCTTAAAGCAAGCTCCAAAACAAGATCAACCCAAAAAGAAAAAAAAAAATCATTTGCCAATATTGCTAGAGCATATGGAGGTTACAACTCTGACACACGCATTCAGAATGAAGCCACAAACTTCACTTGGTTCATTGGAAATGTTGTTGGTGTACATCCACTCTTGGTATATACTTATTTAGGTACTCTATATTATTTATAGTATTTTGGGTATTTATTTGGGATCGAATTCGAGATTGATATGTTTTTTTTAAGAAATTTGATTTTCTCAAATATTCATTCAGGTTCGTTTTAGTTCAGGTAAAACCTGCCACTGAAAAACTGTAAAATAAGATGTATTTCGTATTTATGTTAAATTCGGTTCATATTTATTTTTATCAAATGGGTTCAGGTGGGGTTTTTGAACTGTTCCTACTAAGAGCAATCTTATTGGGTAAACCCCTCCAAAGATTCTCATTTTTTTTCCTTTCATTATTTAAAGAGCTTAAGGGTTTATTGGTGAGATAATCAATTTAAAAGACATAATCAAGAATATAGCATATGATTGACATTATTTGATCCCATAACATTTTGTTCTTATTTTCTGGTTTTCTTCTTTTTCTAAGACAGTTGCATGTAACAACATACAATAAGGAGATGTCATTTAAAAAAAAAAAAAAAAAGTTACTAGAATAGTGGTGTTTATAGTATCTATGTTGATTATGGTGACAATATATAAATAGAATAGAAAATGCTAAATGGTATAGTTTATATTTAGTAAATTATTAAATGATTTAAATATAATAATATTCTATCTATATATATATATCCAAAATTAATAAAATTAAACCCAACGTCCAGATCTTTCAAAAACTAAATCTTAAACTATAATCATTAAACCCTAAAAGAAAATGTAAACCCTAACCCAAATATCAAAATATGCACATAGTACATAATATTAAGTATTATCAAAATAGAATAGTAACAAACAAATAGCATAGCATATATTAATGTTCAAATTTTGAAATATCTTTGATTGCAAGAAAGGATGTAATGTTTATCCTAAAGTCAATCCATATCTTTTATAAACTAAATCCAAAACACTAAACCCTAAAAAGAAATATAAACCCTAATTTAAATATAAAAATTTGCACATAATACATAATATGAAATATTATTGAAATAGAATAGTAACAAACAAAATAATATAGTGCATACTAATGTTTAAATTTAAAATGTCGATTGCAGGGAAGGAGATAATGTTTACCTAAAATCAATCCAAACATTCCGTAAACTAAAACAGCATACTAACCATTAAACCCTAAAAAAAATATAAACCCTAACCTAATATAAAATATGCATATAAAGCATTATGGAAATAGAATAGTAAACAAACGAAATAACAAAGTACATATTGTTCAAATAACATAGTACAACTGAGAACTTAAAGGAAAACGAGGACGCTTCGACCGTAACACTATCTAGATCTGTAAATTTTCAGAAGATGGTGGTGACCAATATCAAAGAGATGGTAGTTAACAAAATGAAATTGGTTAATAAATAAAAGCAATGATGATAATTGGTACAATAGATAAAGATCCAAATGACTGATATTTTGTTTTACATAAAATGGTAGTGAATTGAAAGAAATGATGGTGGTAAGTAAGTGAGAAGAAGAAGTGGTAGGTAAGCAAAAAAGAAGAAGTTTGTGCACGTATTAATTGGGAATGAGAGATAATATAGTATATATTACAGTAATAGTTGGGAGTATTTTTTTAGCTAGATACTTAATTACATTTTGTTTTATGGCTACTGAAACCAATTTTCCTTATTTAAATGCAATGTTTTAAAACGGAAACTACAAAGCCAATAATAAAGCGACATTAAAAATTTTCCCTTATTTCTCTCTCATCTCTTTTTCCTAACACTTTCTGTTATTCATAATTAATTTCTCCTTTTCCTAACACTTTCTGTTATTTATAATTAACTAGGATAACACATGCGCCTTGCGCATGGTGAATATATGTAATTAAAATATAAAATTTTAATATTAACAAATTAAAAATTTAAATATGATTTTGTATATGTATTTGAAATTTTATAATTTTGGAAATTTTATATAATTATCTATACGTAGGATGAGAAACAATTGTAATTAGAACTATAGATCAAAGCTTAGAATTTAATGGACACAGTTTTATATATTTTTTCACTTTTCAGTGTTCGATTGATGGAAAATAAACGGAGTGTCACTGGGCTTGATTGATAGAGTATTAGCAAGTTCCATAATGTTTTCTTAAGAAGCAGTTGGTAAAATATTTGCATTTAAAATATATATAAAGTTTCAAAACTAATTTAATATAATTGATTTCTTTGTCTAATAATATTAGAAAATTATATTTTTTACAAATAATTTTTTAAAAATTAATTTTATAAAAAATTAAGTTAAATTTTAAATTATTTTTAAACACAATATTTTAAGCTTTTCAAATACAAATAAAGAATTTAAAATTAATTATGGTCATGATTTAACATAACCATAATGATTTAAAAAATTAAAAAAATTAAAATTAACAAATTAAAAATTAACTCAGTTTTATATCATGATTTAACAATTTAAAAATTAATTATGGTTATGAGAAATTTACGTTCACATTTCAGTCCTATTTATCTTCAAATTTTTCTCTTGTTGTGTTTTTTTTATTTTGGTTATTACTCGATATAAATATTTATTTTGACGTTCATTCTCATTTTGTTTGTTTGTTTGTTTTGACATGGGATTTAGAAAATACTTAAGATTTAAAATAATTAAAGAGATACATAATTAGGTTAAGATCTGCACTTTATGCACAAGAAGTATTTTATATTTATTATTTATTTTATATTTTTCTGCACATTATAAAATAATAAATAAATATATTAAATAACTAAGAAATCAGTTACTATTATGTAATAAATTGGCGTATGCATATAAATTTAACTATCACTCTTTTTTATTCGCAATTAGGGTAAATAAATCAAAATAATCAATCTTATATATTGTATATGATATATAATTAATTTAAATGATATAAACATAGTAATATAGCACACTTTTAATATGGATATTTATTAAATGAGGTTTCTACTCATATGATTGTATGATTATTTGCATATTAGTGTAACAAAACTTTACACCAACAAATTATTTTTAGGTGAGATGTTTAGTAGTTTCAATAATTTATAATCATTTAAAAAAACAATGACATATTTCAAAATTAAAATATTAACTTTTCAATATATGTTCAATGGAAATATCAAAATATAAGTATGTATTTTCATACGATGTATATTTTAATATAAACGATATGAAATATATATAAACTAAAATTATTTCTTTATATGGTCTTATAATCATTATATTTTACTATAGAAAAAAATTCAAACCTTGATCCTAAAAGTTTATGTGAGACTTTTAACAGTTTTAGTAATTTATACTCATTTTGAAAAATTCGAAATACAACATACACAAAAAAAAAATCTAGATTTTTATTATATTATTAATGTAATTGTAATTTATTTTAATAATAAAGAAATAAAAAAATGAGAAAAAGTATACATATTGTTATCAAATCTTTATTTTTAAAAATCATTAATTGTCATATTTATATTTTAATCACATTAGGTAATTCCGTATGTTTTATTTAAGGAAAGCATGCAAAACAATAAATATTTGATATATTTAGACTATACATTATATTACATACTCTAGAATCCTTCTAAATTGAAATAGAAGACAAAGAGCTATGTCACATAGGATTGGAGTTATTTTTAATTATTACAAACATAAGGTTACAGCTTTTTAAATGATTTTCCTTTAATATATAGGAGATTTGTATTTAGATACCCACCACGATCCCCTTGGAGCATCTCCAAAATACATTCTATAACATCAAATATAGAGTTTTTGGCTCTCTAAGAAGAAACTTCAAAACTTCAAATTTGAAGTTTTGAAGAGTGAAACTTCATATTTGAAGCTTCAATTCTCAAAACTTAATATTTGAAGTTTCAATTCTCAAAATTTCAAATTAGAAGTTCCATCTTTTTATTTGCATTTTGGTCTTTATAATTAATTATATATTATATTTATGATTTTTCAATATTTTCTCTTTTAACATTTTAATCTTAAAGTTTTTCTATTTTCTAAATATTTCAGATTTGTTTTTATAAATTTAATTTTTATACATAAAACTTTAAAATAAAATTTAGATGATTTGAAAACTAAAATTAGACTTCACGAATACTACAAAAGAAACTTCAAAAAAAATTAAATAATTTACATGAAAAGCATAGTTATTACATAAGATTAAATATTATAACAATATTAATAGTATGGTAATTTTCTGTGAAACCTTCAAAATCTCCAAAATATTATCCAAATAAGTATTGTGTAACTGAAGATGAAACATTATGGAAATAGTTTTATGAAATAATGTGATATTTTGTTTGTAGTTTAATATTTAGTTATGTATTACTATTTACAGTTTTATATTTTAGAGTAATTTTTTTAATTAATATTATTGTTATGTTATTTCATATGTGTTAGTTATTTATAAAATAGCTATGAATTTATATTAATTATGACAAATAAAGGACCATAAAATAAAATACAAATAGTTTTAAAGTTGGATTTGAAATTTTATTTTTGGAGAAGAATACTTTGAAACTTCAAAAATAGAATTTTGCAAACTCTAAAATAGAGTGTCTTTTTAGAGATGCTAATGGAGGTGTCATAAAACAAGATACTGAATTGAAATGTGTCGTCATAAAACAAGAAACTGAATTGAAATTGAAAGTGAACTTAGAAAGGTTCTCACTAATTAAAGACAAAGTAACCAACACACAGTTTCGAGAGTTTAATAATACAAGAAGCGGGTAAAAGACAAACACAGAAACATTCGTCAAAAGATTTGGATTTATTTAATAGCAATAAGACAAAACCTTCGTTATCACAAATACCATCTTCCATCGATGCTTTAAAAACCATACTGAAAGCTTTTTCTCAGCTCCACCAGAAACAAACCAAATTTTTCCCAGGCTTACGATCTCATGACGCTCTTTAATTACTCTGCTGGGAACTTGGCCTCATAAGTCTCTGTAGTCTGCCAACACAAAAGAAGAAGAAGAAGATTCGTTAGTAGATAAATGAAATCCAACAGTCTGGAAGTGAAACAAGTCACCGTACCATGTAAGTCGCTGTAATCATCTTTCCGGCAAACCATCTTCCATGGAGAGCACGTTGCGCTCCCATTGCTGCTTGTGCATTTTCAAATCGCAAGTAGACAAAGCCCATGCTATTTCTGTTTTTTTGTGAGCAACAGGAAATAATTGTCAATAATGATCAGTCGCAGAAAGAGAAATACAGGATTCTGAAGCTCACTCACTTGTCAACAAAAATATGATTCAGTTCTCCGAATTTGGAGCATTCATCTCGAACATCTTCCTCGATGTCCTTGTCAAACTCAAGTTCAGTCTGCGAGATAGATACATGTTCAATGAATAATTAGCTTGAGAAAGATACAAATTGTTTAGCAGACAAGAAAAATGTTTACACCGACCTCTGTGGATGGATCAAACATGTTTTTAAGCAGTAGACATTCGCTGGGGACACCAACAGGGTCAACAACAGCTGGGACATTCACACCGAGCCCTGCGAGTCCAGCAACAGCAGGGAAAACCCCTTGGACAAGAGGAGCCACCAAAGGAGAGACTGTTGAAGCTCCACCGAGAACAGATGGAACTGCACTAAGGCCAGTGCTGAAAAGAAGATTTGTTTTTAGTGGAACTGGAATATGAAAAAGGCAAACTACATCAACCGAAATAAGTAACAGGAGCCAGGGAAACCTTGATGCAGTTCCACTGCGATCGAGCTTCATCATGAGTGCTGCCCGCGATTGCGCATTCAGAGACTGCAGTATAAAGAACCATGTTACGCTTAAGCCTACCAACAATGTTTGATAAGTACTCGATTTTCCCTTAAATCCACCATAAATAGTACAGACAGTAGCTATTAAATGTTATAGAAAACCAGACTTCAAAACAAATTTGTCCATTAACAGTTAACAGCCTTTTATTTAATTTGATTATAAAACTGTACTCCTATATATACAAAATCCTACATGATGCAGTGTCTATATCTATTATATGAAACACATACTTCAGTCCTCCCTTAAATATTAAAATATATATCCATAACATATGTTCTCTTTTGGAAGATAGGTTAGCAAGATTAAGAAAATTACTTACCAGGCCCGCTCCATCATCATCATCCAGATCACCGGTGTTTTGCGTTTGTCCAGCGTCTGGGACTTCAGTTTGATCTGTTACAGCTGACACCTAATGAAAGGTAAAAACACATCATTAACAGACATAATATGCGATTCAAAATGCATGTTTAGAAGCCTCTAGAATGTAATGGACTCAAAATGGTTTTGACTGCTCAAAGCAACAAAAAAAACCCCACAAATGTCACGGCTCAGTTTGCTTAGTAGACGTAAACACGCAACATCATTAAGCGAGAGAACATGAATTTCTGTTTGGTTGTTACTTTTTATATTTATATCATCATTTCACCACGTTGAAAGAATCATTGTTTCTTAGAGTCTAGAAAATACTTAACAAAACTACAGCTCTTTGTGGCCTTCCGGATTGATATCATATAAAACCAATACCTTGATTGCACGACCTGCAATCTCCAACTGCCCATTCAGATTCAGTGCATTCCTAGCATCCTCCAGGCGAGCAAACTGTAAGGTTTTGAAAAGACAAGATTGCTGTAAATCACAAAGCATATCAGAAAGAAGTCAAGACTGGTATTGACTGGACATACCTGAACAAAACCAAATCCTTTGCAATGGCCAGTTTCATCACGAGGTACCTGCACCAACTCCACACTCCCAAATGATTCAAAAACCTACGAAGGCCAAAAAAAAAGAATTATTATTATACATGAACATGAGCTTTATGATCAGAAGATGATGCAATTACAAAGGAAGTCTAGATTCCCGAAAGCTTGTGGTTTGTACAGAACAGGAAAATTCACAGTTTCATCTATGTCCAATATTAAACATAATAGCAGTTCGATAGTTAATTTGATAAACACTTAAAGGTGTGTGACATGTCACACCATAACTGCTCAAGAAAAATTGAAACAGTTTACCTTTCGGAGATCATCTTCTGACATGTTAATATGCAGATTACCAACATAAAGACGTCTAGCTCCACCAGAATAGGGGCCCAGCATCCCGCCTGCTCCAGCGGCAGCAGTTGTCGACTGAACAAGATTCTTCTCAGCTTCAGATGGTTTTACCATAACAGGCTGGCCAAGAAGAGGCTGTCCAGATAGAGCAATAGCCATAGGGACTGACATTGTTTCATAAAACTCCACATACCTGCAACCAGGACAAACTTAGAAACTAGAGAACAGTACTGAAAGTGTGTAACCCAAAGCTACTGGAAGTTTATCAGTGTAGCAACAATTAATGATTCTTTAACATAAACAAAAACTTGCTTTCCTCATAAAAGTCTCAAAGAATCAAACTGTTTTAAACTCACCCGATTCCTCTAGAACGCCTGGAAATTCGATCCATAATTATCCGCACATCTCGTACCTACAATAGTATCAGCAGGCAGTGCATTATAAAAAGCTTTAACTAAACCATAAGAGGAGAAGACAAACCTTTCCAGCTCTGGAGAAGAATTCATAAACATCCCTTTCAGTTGCCCTGAGAGCAATCTGTCGTACAGGAATCGAAAAATAATCAATTATTGATCATGTTCTAATGTTCCAAAGGCCCCGTAGCTATCAAAAACAGGCATACCTGATAGGCAAAAACTGTCCTCTGGTCTCTTTCAGGATCAGCCTCAGGCTCTAACTTATCCTCCTTTTTGTCTTTGTGGCGTCTGCATAATAACAAACACGTGAGCTTGCATCATTGGATCCTAGATACCTTCATCCAGAATTTACAAGATGTTGCACGTCGCAACATCTTTGAATATGGCATAGACAACATATCAGATAGGATATTCTGGTATGAAGCAATATGTTAGTATTAAGACAGTTCAAAATAGAGAAACATTTCTCCGATAGGCGTATACACGTGAAGCATGAGATGGCCCTGCAGGGAACTATGCGAAGTCAACAAGTGATGGACAATAAACTCATAAATTTAAACTAACAACTTTTTTCATTTTAAATGTAGCACGTGACCAACCTGAAGTCTAACCAAAAATCTTTTACCTTATAGAACAATGATAATCTTAAACGGAACGAGCCCCATCAAGTTGTACAGAAGGCAATACCAATGAACCTAATAGCATTATGAACCTGTTAAACGTTTAGCTTACACCAAAGCTATTGTACCATAACCCAAAAAGTATAAGAAAATTTCCAAATTCAGTTGTCTATTCAAGAAAACGGGAAGCACAGTCACAACTCCATCAATAAAATTCTGCACCTACCATGGACTCTTCTTAAAAAAGGATATATTGGCAAAGTAGCCACTAGAAAAAGTATGAATCGGTGATAATCACTAACTTGGATACAATCTTTTCAACCCAAATAATGACAAGTACGTATATTGATTGAATGCAGAAGGCATTTATGAATTATAAGAGCAAAATGTTAACAAAAAGGAAAGAAAGAGAAGAGGGACCTGCGATCTCTATCACGGTCCTTGGTCTCTCTTTCCTTAGTTTCTATTTCCTGGCTCTTTCCTCTTTCCTGACTACGGCGCCTCTCTGATCGGCTTCTGCTTCGACGTGATCGATCTCTCTCCCGATCTTTTTCATGGTCACGAACTTTATCATCACGATCCTTGTCTTTCTCTCTGTCTCTCTCTTTCCCGTTTCTTTCTTCTTTATCTCTATCCTTCTCTCGGCCTCTCTCCTTGTCTCTGTGGTCCCGGCTACTTCTATGCCTATCCCTCTCCCTGTCTCTAGATCGTGAACGGTGAGATCTTGGCCGTTTAGAACGCCGACCATCTTCGTCTTCATCCCTTTTATCGTCACTCCTATGCCTTGAGCTTCTACTCCGCTCTTTCACTTCAGAATTGGGTTTCTCATCACGGCCATTTACAACTTCGTTCTCCAGGTGAGGATTCTCAACTGTCTTCTCTAAGTACTCATACTCATCAAAGTCCATAACTTCAACACTAATGCCACGAATCTACAATTTATAATCAAAATGTTAAGAAATCTAAATCGATTCCAAACCCTTATTCCTAGAACGAAGATCCATATATACTAATTAGGTTTCTCTCCGTGAAATCAAATTCATGCTGATACTGCTACAAGCAAGTGGATACGACGAGTTCCAGATTGAAATTGAAAACGAATTTAGTTTAACTCGGTGCTTACCTCTGGTAATGAAGCTTGAAGAAGAAAGAGAAAACGACGAACTGGGAAGCTGCTCTCAATTTAGAAATCTCCCGCTCGCTCGCTCGAAATCTAGGGTAAGAGAATGGCTGTGAAGACGAACTTTGTGAGGTGGCCGCTATCTCTCTATAAGTACAACTTAGCCAGATTCAGACTAAACCCTCTTTCGGGTCTAAGGCCCAGTCCATTTATTTGCTCTTTTAGTTTATTCTTTCCCTAGTGATTTTCCCGTGCAAATATTATAAAAGTAAAATTATATAATAATTGATTGATATTTAGTTTTAGTTTTGAATTAATTAATATGTATCATTTATATTAATAAGTATTATATTATTCTAAGTATACATTTGACTTTGGATATATTATTGTTGGTGTAATTATTTTTTGGATCAATAGTTGGTTTGGTTATCAATTTGGTATATTGGATAATATCTATTTTTCGAATTCAGCTATAATATTTTTTATTCTAAATATAATAAAACTTTGATTAATTTTCTTATTTTCATTTGGTTGGTTATTGTCTTTAGATATGTAACTATATTCTTCGATATGTAAATATATTATAGTTAAATTATGTATAAATTATATATATATATATATATATATATTGTGCTTAAATGAAATAAATAATTGATTGGTATTTATTTTTAGTTTTTAATCAATTTATATGTATAATTTATATTAATAAATATTATATTATTCTAATTATACATATGACGTTGGATATATTATTGCCGGTTTAATTATTTGTTTTATTAATAGTCGGTTTGGTTATCAATTTGGTATATTGGATAATATCTATTTTTTGAATTCAGCTACAATATTTTTTATTCTAAATATAATAAAACTTTGATTAATTTTCTTATTTTCATTTCGGTTGGTTATTGTCTTTAGATATGTAACTATATTCTTCGATATGTAAATATATTATAGTTAAATTATGTATAACTTAATATATATTGTGCTTAAAATGAAATAAATAATAAGATGAAGTGTTTAATACAAAATTACATAAATGAATATAATGATAATATTTTGAAGTCTCATGCATATATACAAATTCTAAAAAGAATTGAATTGTAATTGGTTAAATTTTTTTTTTTTTAATATGCTTTGAGTCAACCTCTAATTTATATGTATAAAAGTAAATAGATTATTAATATTATTATTATTATAAAATTATATGTTCTTATTGCAGTTAGTTGATTAATTTTGAATATAAATTAGATTAGTCGAGTCATTCATTTTGTGAGTATATTGAATATAATATATTTTTAAATTAAATTTGAAGAATAATTACTTTTTATTTTAGGTAAGTCAAATTAAATTAGTTTTATTTATCGCTTAAATATACATGTATTTCAATATTTATTTACTATTTATTTTAGTTAAGTCAAATCAAATTAGTTTTATTTATCGCTTAAATATACATGTATTTTCATAATATTTATTTACTATTTATTTTAGTTAAGTCAAATCAAATTAGTTTTATTTATCGCTTAAATATACATGTATTTTCATTATATTTATCAAATTATATGTTGATTTCTAAAAATTATTAGAAAATAAAGTGCAACTGATAAGTTTTTGGATGTTCATGAACATACATATTTTTATTATTTTGAAAATATATTTTATGTTATTTTAAAATATATATTAATGGGGTATTACTATTTTGTGAACTTTCCTTTTTAATAAAGTCATATTATATATATATTTTTGTTTTTAAAATTTGTTTTAAAATTTTAGAAATATTTCCTTTTTATTGTATATGTTATTTGGAAAAAGATAAAAAAACTAAATAAAAAATAATAATCTTAAAATATAACAAATCATTAAGGGTATCTATGTAATCAACCATCGCGAGAGTTAACGTGAGCGCGACACGTAGAAAACTGACTTCTCAAATAATATTATAGAGATTTTTTAGTTACGGTTTTATTAACAAAGCGCGTATGCAAAAATATTCAATTAGTTATTATTATAACTAGATAAGGAACCCTTGCGATATCGCACGAAAACTCATTTTGTATTTAAAATATGATGCAAGCTATAATTTAGAAATTTATATGCTTAATAAATAATAATGTTATATAAATAATAAAATTAATTTTGATGATTAGAATATGATTTACAAAATATTTAATGACATATTGATATAAACGTTAATGTTCCAGTTATATTTTTATCAAAACAGTTATTGCATACGTAGAATCATACATTTAAAAAATAATATTTCTATAATGGTAGAAACAGTTATTTTTTATATATACTTAACAATGAATCTCTACATTTGCTAATAATCTATTTGTAATTGTTGTGATTTGTCAATGTTCAAATTAAAAATAGTTGATACCAAAAATTACAAACAGTTGATAACCAAATATTGCAACGGTTAACTATAGTTGTGATGGTTAACACCAAAAGTTGACAATAAATTCTAAAAAATATTTTGACAAAAATAATAATTTAAAAATTGAACATTTACAAAAAAAAATCTGTAATTAATAAAGTTCAGATAAAACTATGCATTTCAAAATAGTTTTAAATTATTAAAAATTAAATACATAAAAATAAAATTTGATAAATTGATACAATCTCTTAAATATATCTAATCATTAAATGAGATGAAATAGGATTTTTTTATTGCGATGTTTGAAAATGAAGGGTGAGTTTGTTATAAATTTTCTCACCGAAAAAGACTTATCTTTCGTAATAGTTTGGAGCTTTAAAACATTATGTTGACTAGTATCACCTGAGAGAACCCATCACAGGGAAATCAAGTTCATTGGTTGCTTCAGTCACACGATGATTCTCCTTCGTAACTCAGCTAAGTATCGAAGCTTCACTGATTCCAGGCAGTAGATCGATTCGTGAATTCAAAATCAGAGATAGCGAAAAAAGTGGTTATGAAAGAAAGAGAAGGTCTTACGGATGACCTCAGGCTTGCGTGCCATACCGAAGCTCAGACTCTAATGCTACGTTCTCTTTCAGATACTGACTCAATCAACTACACGTCAACCTTCTCAATCCTCTGTGCTTAGGCTTCTGACATCATAAACAAAGCAAAGACCCGATGTATATCAAATCAACATGGGAATATATAAGACTTACAAAGAAGAAAGAGTAACTGACGTTCTAATGCAATCATGATGAACAAATTTAAAGATTGAAGACATCATGAATAGCAAGGGAGATGGATGACCGCTTGTTTAGAGGAAGAGAGGTCAATTGATATTTAGTGTTACCTAGAAAATCTCTGCAGAATTTAAGTATGCTTGTGTTTATCAGATTTGGGAGATAAAAAGTTACTTGAGATACGAAGAGTTTGAAACTGAAAAGCTAGAGAGTGGGGGAGTGGTTCAATTGATGTATATGCTCGGATTTAAGCACCTAATAATTGTCAATAGCATACGTTACTTTATTTGCGATAAGAGTTGGCGTCATCGTTGAAGAAGACGATACTCTGTAAGAGGGATATTGATGAAACCCTAACTGTGGGCCTAAACCATCCAAAAAACATTACATAAAAACCAGCAGACGGCCCATAGATTTTTTCGAAAACATGGCATTTTTTTTTGCCCGATAGTGACGTGGCAGAACGATATAACTTGATTGGTCAATTATGTTTGAGGACGTGGACAGCACCAGAGGGGTTTATTTAGAACTTTTAATAGTGTTAGATATCTTTTTTTCCAGGTAAACTTTTGTTTATACTAATCAAGATTACCAAGGTTATTAACAAAACCATATAAACAAATTTTTACACAAGGTGTTATTATGCCTTTTTATTGAGCATAATATACATCCTACTATACCTGTTTTCATACGTTTTTTAAACTCAAAATAGCATAGCTGGGACCCATTGCTTCTAATGTTGTTTCCGTAAGAGTATTGTAACATCCCGAGTTGTGATATATGGAAAGGCTTAAGAGAATTGATTTGGTTACCTATGTTATCAAAGTGCACTTAACTTTTCAGGAGCACATCCAGAGAGAACTCCAAAGTTAAGCATGCTTGAGCTGGAGTAGTCAAAGGTTGGGTGACATATCGGGAAGTGATTTGCGATACCGTGTAAGTGAGGCCAAAGCACGGGGAAAGGTCGGGTGGTGATTGCAGGGTCAGTAAACATGACTCTAGAGCCTTGGAAAATTAACGAATCGACCGTTGGAACGGGATGGGCCCATGGTCCGAGAGAGCGGGCATGGGTGGCCAATTAGCCGTGGGCGGTCCGGGCGTTACAAGTGGTATCAGAGCTGGTTAGATATCTCAGTTCTGACCTTAGAGGCGTCTTGAGACATGTCAGGGAGCGCGACAGGGATGTTGCGCTCTTTGAGAGGGGGTGAATTGTAACATCCCGAGTTGTGATATATGGAAAGGCTTAAGAAAATTGATTTGGCTACCTATGTCATCAAAGTGCACTTATCTTTTCGGGAGCACTTCTAGAGAGAACTCCAGAGTTAAGCGTGCTTGAACTGGAGTAGTCAAAGGATGGGTGACCTATCGGGAAGTGATTTGCGATACCGTGTAAGTGAGGCCAAAGCACGGGGAAAGGTCGGGTTGTGACTGCAGGGTCAGTAAAAATGATTCTAGAACCTTGGAAAATTAACGGACCGACCGTTGGAACGGGATGGGCCCATGGACCGAGAGAACGGGCATGGGTGGCCCATTAGCCGTGAGCGGTCCGGACGTTACAAGTATATTGATATCAATTAGCAGTGGTGAATTTAGGTTGCGATTATGGGTGCAAGTGCATGCACCCACTCATTCAAAAAAAAAAAATCTGTAAGAACTTAGTTTAAGCTTTGTCACAATTTTAACCAATATGCACCCATTGAAAATTTTATTATTCCCCCTTAGTACTTACATTTATGATGTTCTTTTAAATTGTACTAGGGGCTTTCCCGGACTACACCCGGGTTGTTTGTTTTAAACTTTGTAACTTTTTTTACTTTTTTTTAATATTATATATATATATATATATTAATCTATATTGTATTGATTATAAAATAAGTTAGTATACAAATTAAACTCTATTTATTAACTGTTTTTTTCCTAATAAATGTGATATGTTAGAAATCATAGTGTGTTGTATGTTTTATAATATATCGAGATGATGGTATGAGTTAGAAATTACTTACACGTTAATTTTGATTGATATATTTTTTATTCTTGATTATGTAGGTTTCTATGTAAAATAATTTTGTATTTATTATGATTTAAATCTTGTTATATAGAATCATTATTTTTATTTTTATTTTAACTCTGTTCCAAAAGAAAGAATAAAACTAATGTATAAATTTTCTACTTGGTTTATTTCAAAATTAAATTTATCACTAACTAAATTATATAATATACAATATTGCTTTGATATAAATATTAATTTCTTATTTATCTAGCCAAAAGAACCTTGATAATTTTCATTAGTTTGGTCAAAAAACAAAATTTTCTAGATAGATTGTTAAGTAGAAAAAGGGTTAAGACAATTTTAGTTAAACCGATACTTAAAAATATGTTGTTCATACCAAACTGACCCATTTTATGTAAGATTAGTTAAAATTAACGAAAACTGACTGCTATTCCTTCAAATCAATTTATAAGAAACCATTAATACAAATAAAAAAATTAGATGAAAACCAAACTTAATATGAACTCTTAAGAAAATTACCACTCTGAAGGCTAATAAAAAGAGACGACCTCATTTTGGAGAGTCGAATATCTTCTTTCAGTTATTCTTCTTCATCACTAACCTAAACTTCTTTGTGGCAAAGAAAATTGATCAGTGCTCTTTTATTGTTCTCCTGGTGAACATTGAAAAAACACACAAGATATAAATTCAACAATAGTCAAGGATCAGTAAGGTTTCGCAAACAAAAATAGCAAATATATGGTAAGAGAAAAATATCATACCCAATTCCATTGTGTAGATTGATTATGTAGATTTATATGTAAAATTTTTAGACAGAGTGTTAAGTAGAAAGATCATAGTCAATGGAAATATATGGCAAGAGGAGAAGATCATACTTATACTGGAAATATATATTTCGTATCTTGACTTATTTTTTGATCAAAATAAAATTTTAGTGGAAATGTTAATATCTGGCATTCATATATTGACTTTTTTTTGGTACGAAATATATTTTAGTAATTATTTTAAATAGCCTTTTGTATTTTTTTTTATTTGTTTGATGAAAAACGTTCTAGTTTCATCTTCATATGTTTTTTTATTGAATGCACATAATTTTACTAATTGTTATTATATATTTAAGCAATTATATGTTCTAAAATTAGAAGATATGTTTTTACTATTTTAATATTTATTTGAAATTATAAATTTTTAACATTATAAAAATACATTCATGATTATAATTATTATATTTTTTAACAAAATTGTTATATTTTTACTATAATACTCGCTATGTTTCTTAATACTAACATTTTAGGGAATTTTTTTTAGTTTCAAAATAGATGATGTTTTCAGTTTTTCTATGTAAAATTTATTAATAGTTAATGTTGAATGACCAATGGTATTTTATCATCTAATTTGTTACTGGTTGAATTGTGGTTAGATAAATGATTAATGATATTTTTGTTTAGAAAATATCAATAATTGTTTTCTTAATATATGTGTAAAATATTAAAACGACATGTATTAAGAATCAGAGGGAGTAGTAAGTAGGGTGGAGATTCTTAGGCATTTATTTTCTATTAATAAATATTTTTAAAAATTTATTCTTATTTTATCCCTTTTAAGAGATAGTACTATTTAAATAATGAAACAAAAAAAAATAGATTCATTGTAAAGAAGTTTATTTAAGTTTGGTAGACTTAATGAAAAAAAAAAGTTTTATCCGCGTAAATATACAATAACCGTTTGCGTTTTGAATTATAAGTTTAAGCTAAAAATATAATTAAACGGAAATCAAATAAAATAGACGAACTTTTGTTTTTGTTTTTGTTTTTGTTTTTGGAACTTGGGCTTAAAAGGGATAAAAATGGTTTAAATTTAGATTTGTCTTACCAAACACTTTTGAGTTTCAGGAAACGTCTCTGCACAGCATATTTCTCAGCAATGTATACTGCTGCATCAGAGGGTCATAAAGCTACATAGCTCAGTGCAAAATGGATATGTTATGGGAACAATCAGGACAGTGGCTACAGAGTTTAAGACATGATCAAAAGGTTCAAAGAGCAAGACCAATTCGTCCAAAACTGTTGAGTCTGGAGAGTTTGTGTTGTGCCATATGATCTGATTGGTTGTAAAAGAAATCAAATGATTTTTTTTGGGTAATGAAATCACTTCTAATAATCGAATGAAACATGCATTTCTGAATTACAAAACATCCATTCTCACAATGTTCCAGTATCGAATATGCTTGCTTACTCGATTTGGTGGTAACAAAGAGAAAACCAAGATCCTTACTTTTCTCAATGAATAAATCGAACCAAAACTGCATTTCTATGTTACAAAACAATCAATAACAGTGGAGTTACTACTATAGAGTAAAAATGTCAACTTTGCCAAATCCGTCTCATTCGTAACATGTTACACATAAGATTAATGAACTCTAACATGGTCTTCCGTACCTGTCTTCTTCTACATTCTGTGCACTGCCACTACCACTGCAATGACAAAAACAGGCCATCTCAAAAACATAACCATTGGTTTCTATATGCACGTGAATTTATGATTGTAGAGAGAAGCAAAATCCGATTAAGTTGTATTTACCTATAAGAAAAGCTAACAGAAGTATCCAAATTGTAGCTTGAACGGATTTGCTATACCGCATTTGATACTGAGACCTCTGAAGTTGCCTCTGCAAAGCACCATACCAACCATGAAGCTGCTTATCATAACAGTCCTCTTCACACTCCATACAGCTCTTGTCCCTCTCAAGACTTTTGTTCTGGGATGAAGCAGCTTCCGCATCTTCCATGGGAGAATTATAAGATGTAGCTGCAAACCAAAGCACACAAAATGAAGTCCGCCTTTGTGATACCAAGATTTAACACTATTCTGTAAGAGAGAGAAAAAACACTGACCAGAAGCTGAAACATATTCCATTTCACCAGTCAATGCGCTTGTGCTAGAGGAACATGATTCCAAACGTTTCTGCATTTTCTCTTCACCATCTTGCATTTCTTTCTCCCTCATTCTTATCTTGGCTTCTATAACTCTTTGCTCTTTCTGCAAAAGAATACATAGACAGAAAATTACACATAAACAAAGAAGTTTCCATCAAACTTAATAGAGAAAAAAAGACAACCTTGCATCTCTTCTCCTAGCTGCTACAGAAACTCCTTTGACCTGAAACAAAAAAAAAAACATAATTTTCACTCTCAAAAAAGTACTTCTTTTGTATGCAATTCAAAAAGAAATAGACACAACCATCTATATAATAATAGTACACTTTTGAAGCTCCTCATCGTGTCCACGTCAGCAAGTTTGCGGACCCCGCGCGTGTTATTAGGGAAAACAAAAACGTATAACATTTTGTAAGATTGAAGGTTATCAATGAGTGATGAAATATCCCAATGGTGTAAGTTGGTGAGGAAAAGTTGGTACCGCGAGTGCGCGGGTTCGAAACGCAGTGCTTGCATGTAATTTTTTTTTTTTTAATTTGGGCTTTTCGAGATACCTAAAAGCTTAGGGAGATTCAGAATGATTTTTTATGCTGGTTGTGTGGATACAAAATGGCTTAAGGATTTGAAACTTTATATAATAATAGTACATTTTTGAAGCTTCTCAGCGTGTCCACATCAGCAAGTTTGCGGGCCCCGCACGTGTTATTAGGGAAAACAAAAACGTATAACATTTTGTAAGATTGAATGTTATCGATGAGTGATGAAATGGCCAAGTGGTGTAAGTTGGTGATGAGAAGTTGGTACCGCGAGTGCGCGGATTCGAAACGCAGTGCTTTCATGTAATTTTTTTTTATTTTTAATTTGGGCTTTTCGGATACCTAAAAGCTTATGGAGATTCATAATGATTTTTTATGCTGGTTGTTGGGATACAAAATGGCTTAAGGATTTGAAACTTTATGAGACCATCTTAGATACTTTTATAAGAAAGGTTATCATGTTCTAACCTCCAATATCATTTCAATTCAGTTATAATCATCAAATAAAATAAAAACATATTTTTCAATGATAAATAATTACCCCGAAACATTCAGATCGGACATAAATCTCATATACATCACAATTAAAAAAAAAAAAAAAATATATATATATATATAGAATATAATTTCAGAAAGAAAATTACACTAATAAACACATTTCTTTTTTTGTCTTGTCTCCATTAAATTATTTTTTTACATGAAAGCACTAATAACAGTAATGCTCGATAAAATCACTACGAAGATAAAATATGAAAATATCAACCCATATGAATTTGATGTTTATTCTTTTATCAGACTAATCAAGTTGTGTGACTTCTAATGTTTCATTCATCACCATTATAGATAAGCCAGATAAACAAATGTAAAAAAAAAACAGAAAAATCTCATACACAAAACTACACAACACATCAACAACGTATCCAATCTTCGCGCTTGCGCGGGGACTATGCATCTAGTTTGTGTAAATAATAAACATACCAAATCAGTTAACTCACGAAGATGCTTTCCAAGTGTAGATTTGAACTTCATCCTTTGGTTCTTTTCCTGTCACAGCATAATCTTCCTTCGTATGATGAACACCCGTCTGCAAAAAATAGACTCAAACACAATGCATTAGAACTGTTGTAATCAATCATCAATCATCTACATGAAGAATTGGCGCCAGGTTTGATCAGATTCATGGATTAAGATCGCCGGAGATCAGAGATGGCAATCAAGAAATCTCCAATTCCCTGTACCTACAAACGTATAAAATATATATATATATATATATATATATATATATATATATGATGCAAAAAATGATGCTTAAGCATAGGCTGTGCTTACCTAAACTCTTAACTGAAAAAATGGAGGAATCAGAGGATAAAAATCTTAGGTGTAATAGGTGCTTCGTCGGTTACAATAGAGACAGTCATCAGGGCCAATAGACTGCAACAAACAAACACACAAGAACGATAGTTAATATCATTAAATTGAGAAGTCGAAGTTCATATCTTTTTTACTTACTTTACGGATGTATCCAGGAACGATTTCATGAGTGACTTTGTTCCCATCTTGATCAGTAACGTTGAAAACATCCATGAACAACTTCCAGAAGAATCCCATGTTTATTAGCACTATCCACCTAAAACCCACAAATCAAAACGTTTTCTTTTACCTCTTTTCTCACCTAAACGAAAACCTAATCACGTTAGTAATATATCTGAAAGGATTACCTTAATGACAGTAACGTTCTTGCAGACTTCGTTATCAATCACAACCCTAGGCGGATTCACTCTTTTTAAAAACTTAGCAATCTCATCATCTATATGGCATGAGTAGCTCAAACAAACATCTGAAAGAAGAATGAAACCATTAGATTCTATCAAATCAGAAACGAAACAGAGACTAAACCCTAGAACATGATTATAAACAAACTGATGATGAAATACCTAAATTTGAACAAATCCATATTTGAAAACCTAAAATTTAACAAACCCATGATGGAAAAACCTAAAATTGAACAAAATCCAGATTCGGAAACTAATCATCAGAGACGGAAATGGATCAGTCAATCAATCATCCAATAGAATTGGAATTTAGAACAGAGAGAAGTGACGAACCCAGTAGCCACCGTCTCTGGAATCTAGACAGTGACGTTTTGAATCAACCGGAGTGGATGACCCATCAGACTTGAGATCTTCTTCTCATCGACGGGGGAGGAGTTATTGTTTCGTTTCTTAGACTTGCAATCGCCAGAGCTTCGAGATTGTGCATTGGATGCTATTATAATTAGTTAGATGGATAGGGAGATGCGAAGAAGCCATTGAATGTGAGAGAAGAAGAACTGATGGTTTGAAATCGTGGAAGAGATAGATTTCGAAACTGATTTTTAAAAGGAGGAGGTAAAGATATGGGAAGAAGATGAATCGTGAGAATAAACATGGGCCTGGTGATTAATTTCGTATGCAGCCCAAAGAAACTAAGCCTAACCGTAAGCCAAGCTGTCGCTGACGTGGAAAATTCGCTCTCCCCCATTGGTCGATTATTAATGTCGACGTGGACAGTCTCATATCCTCTTAATAAGAGCTTTTAATTATAGTAGATATCTAATATAATGTGCAGCCACTATTAATATATTCTGAATTTTCCCCTTCCAAATAATCCGCACCAACATATTTGGTGATAAAGTAACCTTTGGGTGATATTGATTTTAGCCCAAACACAATCTGTCCTCCGTACTCTACGTGATTCCGAAATAAGCCTAGAAACTTTCAACATTATCTCGACTTCAAAATCCTGGAACGCATTGATCTTAAAGATCATGTGTCACTTACCGACATCTCCTAACATTAGTAAGCAAGGTTTCTCAAAGCATGCATCTTCATTCTCACAAGACTCATGATTATAAAGAATCGAAATATAGCCCTCCAAAGTTGATGCATGAAGGAACATGGCATCTATAATCATAACCGGTTGTAGAAATTTATGAGCGAGAAGCAATATAAAAAAAAATTAGCCACTTTTTCGAAAAACACAGAAAAAAGAGTTGATATAGACACTATGAAGTTCGAACCCAAGATATTAAAGGGAACTTGGACCAAAGACAATCGCTAGACAAAAGAGAACTATTGATATTTTGTGGCCGTATTTAATTGATAAAGTAAACGGCTGGAAGCAGGTGCTTTCTTGGTTTTGTCCAAGGGCCGGCACTGTCTATAATACCTGTCCCGGCTTCTTTGAACCTTATTCGCATCTGCACATACTTAAAAAGACAACAATGGGGGCGGAGGATGAGTAATGAGTTACTGAATGAGGAACCCATCAAAACATAATACCTATTTTACTACTATAAAACAATAATCATAGAAATAGTTATATAAATTCAGATACCAACAATCATACAATTTGGTTTAGTTTCCAAGTTGTAGCATATATATTCTCGACCGCTAAGCAAACATTCATATAGTCATCCTCATGATGACTATCATACATTGTTAAGTTTAGTTATCCACATAATGACACTCCACATGATAGGTAAGAACCTCAAGCGTGGAGGTGGAGGCATCCATAGCTAACACTACCATACTGGGCTCGTCAGCAGTTCATGAGTTGCATACTCGTCGGCCCATCATAATAGGGGAGACCACGTCCGATAGCTCGTTTCTTCCTCTTTTACATCATACATTAGGTAATAATCCGCGCCTTGCACGGAATGAGATTATTACTTTTGTTACTTTTAACTTTTTAAGATAAAATGATATTATGTCTAGCATGGATATTGGTTCAGTTTTACGTTTAATCTCCTATAATACAATTATCATTCTAAATCTATATTTATTTTGGTTTGTTTGGTTTAAATGTTTGATGTTTTTGATTTTTTCGATGATAACCAAAAACTATTGTTATTTGTTTGGTTTCATTTTCTATAAATTTTAGACATTTTTCATGTCGAACTAATAGTTTTCTATTATAATTTCTAAAAACCAAATAAAATCATAAATAATATTTGAAGAAAAAAGAAAATAAAATTATGAACACAAAACATTTTACTACAATTTGAGCAATAGTGAAATAAAACATTAAAAAAAATTCCAATAAGAATTAAAATTCTCACTTCTGATGAATATTTAGTTATATATTTGTTCATGTCAATGTGTACATGTATGTATATGTAAATGTATATAAATGTGATGATAAATATGTAAATATACCATTAATTAAGATTTAAAACATTTTTTTTCAAAATAACACATGATAGTAAATTCTTTAAAAAAAAATAAGTAAAAATAAAACAAACCTAGAAATTAATAACATTTTTTCATATGAAGAAAATCAAATTGTACGCGTAAACAATAAAAATAATATATATTACAAAGTGACATCTTCACTTGGTACCTGAATTCTGTTTTTAATCGATTTTGTGATTTTTATTTCCTTTAAAAGCTTTTCTAATTTCTGATTTTTTTTCTACCAATTTGATTTTGTTTCTACTTCTTGGTCTAATATGAAAATTTTATAAAAATGTTAATATCTGACTAAACTAAAGATCCGACTTTACGTGTAGTGTTTTTCACCTCAGTTTCTTTAATTCATAATCAATCACCTTATTTGTTGTTATTATGTACCGAAGCGTCAACCATGACCAACTTCGGCAAACCTCAAACTTTCAATTTCTACAAACATTTTTATCGCAACATTTTAGTTGATGCGAATCTTAATGATTTTGTAATTGTTTTACAATAAAGATATTATTCATTACTTTGACATAGAAAATTTTAATTTATTAATACAAATGCTAAAAATGTAGGAAAATTAAATTAATTAAAAAAGTGTATAAACACATTAAATAATGAAATTCAAAAATTAGTGTGTGAACACATTAATTACCAAATGATTGTGAGACCGACACGTGTCAGTTACGTTATGAACGCATTTATTACAATGCTTCTCTTTTAATATATACTAGGTGGACGGCCCGTACGCCTGTGCGGACATTAATATAATCTATACATTACATGAAGAAAAAATAATGTAAATGTATAAATATATTGTAACTTTCTCTCTCTCTTTTATATAGATACTCTATTTTTAATATATTTTTCTATTCTACTCATTTCGTTTCTCCTTGTATTTTTTCACACATTCGTTTTTGTTCTTATGTATCTCTCTTTGCATTATTTTTGTATGTCTTTGTACATCTCTCTCGCTCTCTTTTTATTTCTCTCTCTCTCAAAATCTCTCAAACTTACTTTCACTCTCTCACAATCACCTATATTCATTCTCTTACCCTCGTCCTTAATATGATCCTCAATATTTCACTTTAAAACTCTTTCTATCTCTCTTTGGTTGCAAAATTTTCACCAAATTTTGTTAAATCTTCAAAACACTTTCACATAGTATTAATAAATGATTTCATAATCTATCTCACTTATATTCAGTCTCTCACTTATATTCACTTTCATCTTCATTATGATCATAACCGACTCTCTAATCCTTATCATCACCATATCTCCCTCTCTTTCTCCCTTTCTTACATATTTTTTTTATTTAGAATTTAATATAAAATCACAATTGGCTAACCAAAAAAATTCATTATCAATTTCTCTCCAATCTTCACACTATCTTATCAAACATTGATTCCTTAGACCAAGATTTTCATTGAAAAAATAAATATCTTATTATTAAATTTTTTTAATTACTTCATTACATACATATTTTAAGTAAATCTAAATAAATGTATTTAAAAAAAGTAAATTTGATTAAATAATTATATAACATAAAATATCTTAATTCTTAAACGATGTGATGTCATTATTTTAGACATAGATTAATATAAACATGAGATTCAACAGCTTTAATATATCAAAATAACATGTTTCTAGTTGTATAAATTTTGTTATAACTTTGTTATCATATATTTTAAAAGTTTATTACACCGCAAAATATACTTATCATTATTTTAAAATAATTTATTTTAAATTTAATTTGCGTTATATTTTGCATCTTCAACATTAACAATTTTATAACTTATCATTTATATTTATCTTCCTTGCTCAATTTTTCTTTATGTTGTATAAAAACCTAAAAATAATTAGTTTACAATTATACTAATAAGTAAAAAATATTTTGGTATACAAATAAAAATTATATATGTACAAATACAAAATAACGAAGAATACAACAAAAGGTTTTATTATTATCCACTCATGTTTTTATTTATGTGTCTTTTTTTTTCTTATTAAAAATAAACATGCCAATTTTATTATACTTAAAGATATATGGATTATATGAATAGAATTTTAACTCTAGTCTTGTATTAATATAATTTTTTTATTTTTGTAATTTTATATTATAATAAACTTTTTCATTAGTTCATATTTTTTTGAATGACATACCATATAATTTTCTTTTTTAAATATAAAAATACTTAAATAATGTTTGAAATTGATAACTCAACTATACTATCGACACTTATCTCTGGAAAATGATAGAATTTATTTAAAATTTTACATTTGACTATTTTGCATTCATTGAACATATTTTAAGAATACATATATATAGTGAGTGAGTATAAAAATATTATTAGTTTTCTATAATGTATGATTTTTTATCCACTATTAATA